TCTGTCACAAATTCCCCATGGTATTAGGACAGCACAGATAAAACCTGAAGGGAGTAGACTTTATCAATGAAAACATACAATTTACTGCCAGCAAACATGATCTTAAGGATGCCTGTACTTTATTCTGATTTTCCTGTAGCTGTTAATATACTGTCTGGTGTGCTGGGCTACAAGCAGTGAAGTTAGGGTTTACAGCTGATACTCAGTGAGTGCAATTATAAATGTATAATGCATACATATCAGCCACTAAACACTAAACATAGCATTGTGTTCACTGTGTGTGTTTCAATAAGAAATCCATTATAATAGAGCAATAAAAACCTCATTAATATTTGACAATTTGGTACATGATAGATGTGACACAATATAGCGTCAAATGGACGCTAATTGTGCAGTATAAATAGGGCATTGGATAAACTCTACCTGGAGACATATGGAGTGTGAGGTTTCAAACTAATGGCGACGTTCACATAAAGGCCCCTGCTGTGAAGAAACCACCATTATAAGGAAAGCAGTTAAAGAGTGACTTTCAAACAGTGATGCACAACAGTGAGAACTAGCATCAGAACAATAATGTTAAGCAATATTAAATGAGCCAAGAAAAACAAACTGCCCCCAGTTTCCACAACACAAAGAATAACACTTAATTAATGTTATATTCAAATAGGAATGAGTGTTTTTTTTGGGAGGGGTGGGGTTTGTGGTATCAGAGATTCCTTAACATGTCTTCAGCGTGAGGTTTTGACCTGGTTCTTCAGTCTTGAATTCAATTCCCAGACCAGCTCATTACTGAATCTTACTTGTCAATCACTCCGTTAGCCCTCTGATGTAGTTTGAGGGTCTCACGGGAATTGGAACCATCACTTTACCCTTTTGTGTTGCCAGTGTTGTGATTCAAAAAAGATTTTCTTTTCAAATGGTGGAGCTTGGAAAAGTGTAATATTTTCTTTCCCCACCCTGCCTGCTCCCTTCATTTTGATTTAAGCGCCAATAGATTTTTCATGGTGTGCGGAAATGTTTTTGTTTTGTAAGCTTTTGGCCATTTCTCATAGCCTTTGAAACCATTTCCATGAGGATATATCTTAATGCAACTGCACAAGTAACTCCAAGACTAGAATTAGGAAACATCTGTTCTCTGCTTGAGTACATATGCTCTGTGTAGGCTTTCTGCTAGAGCTGTAAAAAAGGCATTCCCTTCACACCTCTGTGGTAGATGGTTGAATGGAGCTTACAATCAGACCCTCATGTTAACGTGAGAACTGTATGGACAATTTTCATTCATGTTGCTAGAGTTGGGATGTCCCATTATTAATGAAACGCATTGCACTTGTTCTGCTTTATGCTGGCAAAGGCTGTATTCCAATGACTGAGCTGTGAAGGAACACTGTTGCCATAAGCAATGGAATGTTTTCTTCACCACTTACCCATTCTTTAACTGCAGGGAGGCGAACAGCTATGGGGCTGAATGAAAGATGAGAGTCAGATGCTTAAATAACACAAGAGCAAAAAAACAATTGGGCCTGGATTGCACAGTGGTTTGCACGCCCATCTTTGGCACCAAAGTTTGAATGCAACCTACATACCTGTAAAATTATGCATTTGGAATAAAGGTCCTTGTGTCCATTATAATATGTCTATTGTAAAATAAATGGAAACCCCTTCTCACAAGCTTCTTCAGCTAAGTAACCAACTGGACTGTGAATCGTCAGCAGAGTTCCTCAGCATTGCTGCAGCCCAGCAATGCTCAGCAAGGTGTGCTGGAATTATTAGGTTAAAAGCATCCCCTTGACATACCATTCAACGGTCTGGCTTAGAACAACCACTATTTTCCCAAATGGGACCAGCCAGTTTGAGTGACAGGGAAGCCTTGAGATTCAAACACGTGACCTTCTGTCGATAAATCCAACATTCAAGTAAGGAATTCTAGGCACCTTGTTTGTGACAAAAACAATGCAGTCTCACCTTGAATTTCACCTCGACAACTTTGGCTACAATAGACAACATTTGTATTCTCCACTCTTTTAAATTTATCTCTGAAATCCCGGCAGGGCTGACTGTCATTGCAGTTCTGCATGGCACTAGTCCTAATTCTGGTCTAGCGACACCAGAGGAGTCGTAGATTATTTTACTGGTTTTCAAAACTGCAGTATTTAGAAATTATCACTTCTGTGCCAATTAACAACCGGCATCCCCAGTGTTCTAGTGATGTAGTCAGGTCAAGTTAAAAGGCATGGAATGTCATCTGACATTGTCTGGACTGTTATGACCTTGAATAAGATTTCTTGTATTCAAGCTATAATTACCTTCAGACATGATTCCTATGAACCAAGTGCTGTGAGACAATGTTGTGTATGATTGTTTATTTATTCTGCGGTCAGGTAGTTCTGATACTTGCTGTTGACTGGTTATTTTTCTGTAGCCTTTTTATTGATTTTAAAAATAATAATAACAATCCTTATATTTGATATGACAGGTGATGTCTTGTAGCACTTCACAGGATAACGGGTGGAAAGTTCCAGGGCTTGGAAATGAATCTGACTGGTCGCCAAAGGAAATACAATTCATAATATATATTTGGCCACTGTGACTCATTTCGCTGGGCTGGTTATAATTTTGCAAGGAGTTTTTGACACGCCTGACAAATATCATCTCTTAATGCTGTGTTTATGCTTCTTTGCTGCTGACAGTATTGCAACATGCACCAGGGTGTCAGATTTACACGTTTCCCCTCCACATAGGGTCAAGTCAGCACATTATGTCTAGATTGTGCATTTGTTTTTTAAAATGTATTGAAGAGCCAGTTGAACAATTGAGTCCTCCAGATATCAAAGGCACTAGCTATATCAGTTGCAAGGATTATTATATTTAGTGTCTGCTCTTGATGCCATCTCACGGAGATGATTTAGGTGCAATGCGGTTTACATCCGCACATTATAAATGTGGGTGGCCGCAAATCACACTTGGCTAGCTCCTTAATCCTACATTCAAAATTGTAGACTGAATTTTTCTTTTAATGTTGTTAGACTCAATTGTTCAACTGGCTCGTCAATACATTACAAAACGAATGCACGATCCAAGAGTAATGTGCTGACTTGACCCGATGTGGAGGTGGAAACATGTAAATCTGACACCCTGTTGCATTTTGCCATACTGTCAGGAGAAAAGCAGCATAAACACAGCATTAAGGGATGATATTTGTCAGGGGTGTCAAAAACTCCTCGCAAAATCATAACCAGTCCAGCGAAATGAGTCACAGCGGCCAAATATATATTATGAATTGTATTTCCTTTGGCGACCAGTCAAATTCATTTTAAGTCTTGGAAGTTTCCCCCGGCCTGTTGTTAGGTAAAGCACGATGGAACCACATACTATGAAGAAGTGGAACAGTTTGACAGAATCTAGTAACAAAACACGGAGCTGCTAATTCCAGAGCAACTGCACAGGTTTGGCAGTAAGTGATTTCACCAGCGCTCCGGAGATTATTTTGACAAATGTTTTGTTTCAAGATTCTGTCAGGGTTTCCGCAGAGCATAGTGATTATGGCTCCATCTTAGCAGCAGATCCAAGATAGGAGAATGTTTAAGTGAATTAGAGTGATTTTAAAGCAAGATAATCGATCAAATAAAATCTGACCAGTATAATTGGTTTCACTAAATTTAATTGGTCATAATTTTGTGACGATACGTTTGATTCAGCTGACAAATCTCGTCCTCTAAGGTGTATCATGACATTATAGCATAGCCGTAACAGTTGATTTTACACAATTACATTGCATGAAAGCAATAATTTAATATATTAGGAACTTTAATGATTTTTTAAGGCAAGTCATTGCACATTACGATTTCTGAAAGTGCTGAAATTATTCTTTGAGGCAATTTATCACAAGATTATAGTAAATGATGTGTTGAAGATCATTTAATAATAGTGCAGTTGTGCAGTGGTGGTTGTCCAGAAAATACGGATGTTGCAAGCAATTTCCTCCGGATTGGTGATGGAGCAGGGACTCTGTGTAGTGTGCTCCGGCTGAAATTGCTCACAGAAATTTTTTTGGCTGGGATTCGTAACAGACAGGGTTCCCTGTACGACTGGCTAGGAGGCAGACGTCGTTAAAAATAAATCTTAAGAAGAACTCTTGTCAGAGAATTTAACAAGACTCAGACTTGATCAATAATCCTGACAAGAGGAAGCATGATCTCACCGTATTTTGTTATTGCACATACCATTCCCAAGCTGCCAACAAGCAGGCTCGAACCTTGTGAGTCACGCAGTTCAGGCAGTGTCCTAAGACAACCAGACAGCCAGGCTTTTGAAAGGCTGCACAGCAAGTGCAATGAGACTGTTTTCATTGTGAGGTTTGACAAATGATCCGTACAGCACCTAACGATAAGTTTAAAGATAGTGCGGTAAAAATAGTGTCAGTTATTGAAGCACGGAATAAATAGTCCTTGGCACTTAAAGAAGAACATCAATAGAATAGTCAGATGATTGGATCTAAGAAGAGGAGGAGGAGGAGAGCACAAATGATACTTTAAGGTGAAGTATTGAATTTCTAGACGGAAACTAAAGCTGAAATGAAAACTGAGTGCAGGGTTCAGAGATACAGCACTTCACATCTATTTGGTCAAACTGTGCCAAAACTGTAATATTTATTTAATAGAATGTGCCAAAATGTTTGAAACATGCTACAGAAAAGCATTTGATTTTTTTCTCTCTTACTCTCTCTGTTGGCTATAAAGCATGTTGTTCATTAGTAAGGAGCCTTAATGATGTAATCACCTGACCTGATCACGTCTCTCTGAATTTTCACTTGTCCGATTATCAAGACTGCTGGAAAGAAATGTCTCTACAGAAAATGTGCCAAATTGCCGAACTTTAAATAGCTTTGAAAGAAATCAATGCTGTTCTCTTTTGCATTTTTATCAGACTGTGTGTGTGAGCACATGAAATACTTGCTGCCTGGTGTTTACTTGGTTAACTTTTCTCTCTCTCCTCTTTTCCAGCACTATTGCTTTGCAGAATTCCCACAGCACAGGGTCAGGGCATTCCAGTGGTGGATCGAGCAGCTCCAGTGAATCCGGGAGCAGTTCTGAATCCGATTCAGACAGTGAAAGCAGCTCCAGTGATAGTGAGTGCAATAAAGCTTCACGCAATGCAACGCCAGAGGTAAGGTGGTCTCTCCTCAGCCAGACGCATGTTAAGGGGGTCTGCACTCCCAGCCAGAGACCTTCATTGAGGAGACTGATGACGGCTGTGTACACAAATGGATTTATCTTGAAATGTTGCCTGAGGTCTCTGATAGGTTTTTCTCATTACATTTGATTTGTTTTCTAATTAACAAAATTGAGAATTTCCTCATGATAATGGTTAGGTTGCCCTGTGCACACCCACGGTTTCCTGCCTTAAACCCTCCTCTTCTGCTAGAGCAAAGTCGATTGGGTAGCAATGGATCTGTGCCTATCCAACTGGACATGTTTCACATGTAAACGGGACCGTTATTATCAGCTAGCTGTTCAGAAGAGCCATAAACATACAAACACCCCACCCACCCACATACAGGCCCAAATGCATATAAAAATAGCCCACACACATACACACAAAAGTACACAAAGATGCACACACACCGAAGATGAGTATACACATATAAAGACGCGCATACACACACATGCCCCTTGACTTTGGCTCTGGAACTCTATCCCCCAGTGCCTTCGCCTTGCCTCCTCCCTTTTCTCCTTCAAGGCCGGTCTCAAGACCTTTCTCTTTGACCGTGCCTTCAGCTCCCCTCTCGACTCTCTACCCCCTCCTCGCTCCCTCCCTTCCCTCCCCCCACCCTGACCATTTCCCCCTTGCTCGGGTCCTGACCCAACTGTACAGCGCCTTGGGTCGTCCTCCCGACGTGAAAGGCGCTCAATAAATGGAATCTTGTTGTTGTTGTTGACAAATTTCAGCCAGATTGAAGTTTTAGTTGTTGTTTCCATTAACTTCCCTGGTTGCTTGGTCAGGCAGAATCAAGTAATGCATGATCTTAAAGGTGGACAAACTTTTGCACATCAACTGTGTGTCTGCAGCGAGAGTATTTCACTATTTGAGTAAGATTGATTGATTAAGGGCGAAACCTTGGGCAAGTTTCCTTCCTCCACACGCCTAATAATAATCCCCCCAAAACAAAACAATAATAAATTGGTCATTTTCAATCCACGACTGTTTGTGGGACACTGCTGTGCGCAATTGGCTGCCGCGTTCGCCCACAAATATACAGTCAATTCACTTTACAGTATATTCTGTGAAGCGCTTTGGGACGTCCTCCCAACGTGAAAAGCGCTATATCAAATGCAAGGATTATTATTATTATAAGATAAACATTTATCGTGGTAAGAAAAATAAGTGTGCAATGGACTGTTTTATTAACAGAAAACAGAAACTATTACAAATGTTTTAGATTGCAAAGATAAAAGTCCTATAGTCTTTTTGATTTAAAAAAAATTAGCTTTATTATTTGGGAGGTGTCTTTTAATAGGTAAGTAGTACTCAGGACACATTGTAATTAGTACTTTTGAGTTATGCTGTCTATGTTTAGGAAAACTATAATAATCCTTGCATTTGATACTGCTGAGAGAATCCGATATCCACACTAATTGGGACAGGCCCCAGTATTGACAGGAAAACGGTGTAGGTATTACTGTTCAGACCAGCATTCCACTAAAATCATAATGATGCATTCCCATACATGCACGCAACCAAAAACACACCTGAAATTTCAAGACACGTGCGGATTATCAGTGTTGTGCTGTAAATGCTATTTATTATCGCTGTGAGATATAGCCTAATCTTTCATTTTGCTTTTTTAATAGCCTGAACCACCTTCTACCAACAAGTGGCAGTTGGATAAATGGTTAAATAAAGTAAATTCTCACAACAAAGCAATTATAAGCAATCAAACTGAGTGCCATGGGTTGAATGATTCTCAGTCTCAAGGCAACCAACAAAATGAAGGACAGAGCAAAGGTAAACAGACTGGTCCACTGCCTCAGCCAGATTCCAAAGAGCGGGTTTTGCTGAGCCCCATCAGGGAGAAAGCTAAACTGAGGACTGCTCAGAAACCCCCCGAAGGAAAAAGTGTGAAGCAAAAGTCACCGGCACACAATGAACCAGCTCCGCAGAGAAAAAACACTGGCAAAAAGCAACCCAGGAGAGTTGAGCGGACATCCAGTGTGGAGGATTATAACTGGACCAAACCAAATAACCCCAGCAGCACTCCCAAAGAAAAGGAAAGTCGAGGAGCCTCTTCAGAACAACCCAAAGCAAAAGCAAAAGCAACCAGTAGCAAAACAGGGCCTCGGAAAGAGCCAAGGACTAACACAGGGCCTGCTGCTGACAAGAAAAAAAACAGGGGGCCGAGTAAGATTGTGCCTAAATCTAAAGAGTTTGTGGAAACGGATTCATCGGATTCTCACACAGACCAAGAAGAAATTGTTCCAGTGAAAATTTCCACACCTTCCACTGTGACTGCCAGTTTGCTCAAACCTAAGGAATGTGGTAACCTCAGTAACTTTGCAAGTACCTTTATAAGCAACACTTCCATTGACCAAGCCACTAATGACTTAGAAGAACAATCATTTTCACCTATTCCACTACCACAAACTGAACTTCTTTCCCCACTGAGAGACTATGAAGAGATCAAATCCCTCTGGGTAAAATTAGACCTGAGCCTTTTGTCCAGGATCCCTGGCCAAACACCAGTGGAAGCTGCCTCAACCAAGCCAGAGGACAGACAGCCCATCAGTAAACACAGCTGTCAGTCCCCTACACCAGTTACAGATAAAAGCAGCACTAAAACAAAACGGAAACACAAGGTTAGTAACCTTCGGGAAGTGAGCAGGAGTGAGGTTGAAAACAGATTTTGCATATGTCCAGGAAACATTTCAGCTTTCACAAATAGCTTTACCAGGTTATGAGATATCAGTCCTGCTGAGAAGGTTTCGTTTATTTTTATTGAATGTGCGTATATTGAATTGTATGCAGGCTTTTATAAAGAATGTACAGTACAGGAACAGCGTACTCACTCGGCTCAACAATCCAATCCGGTGTTTGTACTCCACACAAGTCTTCATCCATTCCTTACTCCCTCCCATTCCCCTCTCCCTCATGTGAAAGTCTAGTTTCCTCTGTGTGCATCTACGCCATCTGATTCAACCACTGCTTCAGGCAGCGGGTTCCACAATCTCACTACCCTCATTACACTGTCATTACCCTTTTGTTTTAGATGTATTTGCTGTAAAGAATCTTTAACACTGCTGTAAGAGACCATTAGACTATAAATGTCACTTGCACAGTCTCGGCTGAGCATTTAACATGAATTTGCACTGATTTAAAGTGCAATTTATCAGAATTCCTGCAATGCCCACTAACCTCCCTCCAGGGAGAGAGTGCGCATTCCATTTCAACAATCTATCTCTGGAATTTCCATGGAAAGGCGGGACGCACGGAAATCTCAGCTTGATTTGGATACTCTTAAGCACGGTGGCGGGTTTCTGCATTTGTCAGACACCAGGCTGGCCAAAAAACAAACTTAGTTTATAGGTGATTAGGCAATTATTTATTTGTACACAGACTCTGTGTTGCTTTATGATTTGAAAGGAAGATGGAAGTATTATTTTTCAGTTGGAAACGGAGACTTGCTTTATCCTGTGGTTGGGCATAGGTTTTTGCTTAGGATTCCCCAACAGGAATAAACACAATTGTAACTGAGCTGTCAGAGAGGGACACTGAGGTGTTTCGTTGCTTTAGGGCACATGTGAAAATCAGCAGGTCTAGGCACCTATTAGCACCTGACTGAAGAGTGAATGGCTTTAGAAGAGACTTGAGAGCAGATTAGCTGCCCTGCCTGCTGGCTCTTACAAACAGCGCAAATCTGACAGCAAGTGAAAGGGAAATCTGAGGTAGAAAGTGAAGAAAAAAGGAAATTTTAAAAGCAAAATACTTTCCCTTTTTATCCAGCTCCTTCATAAATGCTTTCTTCAGTTCTCATTACTTGAACTGAGAAGCAAAGCACATTAAAGTTATCACAGGAGCTCACAGCTTGCTTGAGAAAGGTCCTCTCTGTACGTTCTATCATTTCTTTTGCTGGGTTACCTTTCATAATCAGCATTTTCTTCTCCCACTAGTGTGAAAATACAGAAGCACTGTGTGACAGCAAGAAACAACGCCTGGAGAAAGAGACGCCTGCTGTAACTCCAGCACCTACCAGTTGTCCCGTGATCTCTGGTCATAAAACCCCAGGCAGCAAAGAGTAAGGACCTGTACACTTTATAGGCTCTGACCCCATTGTAAATTACAGAAGTCATTTTACATATTAAATAATGCACTGTCGAAAAGAGATTTTACACTGTAGGTAAATAAAACATGCTTTTATCTCTCGATGATAATAATAATACTAATAATCAATTTGTCATTCAATCCACGACAGTTTGTGGGACACCGCTGTGCGCAATTGGCTGCCACATTTCGCCCACAAAATATACAGTCAATTCACTTTATAGTATATTCTGTGAAGCACTTTGAGACGTCTCGATGATGTAATAAGCCGCTATATCAAATGCAATGATTATTATTATTGTTATATCTTTTAAATACATAGTGACAGACGTGATTTACAGTTCTGGTTGCAGTTATAGATTTAAATGAATTAGCTCCTATTTATTTGTGATATTAAAAAGCAGCATTAACAGGTGAAAGGTGCAACACTGTACAAATCCTCCCTGTTTTTTTCTCTCTCCCTTTTCGCTGCAGATCATCAAAGCAGATGACAAAGAAGGAGAAGAAATTCCCCCCTCCGCTGTCACCACTTCCAGACGAGCCTTCATACAAACGATGGAACAGTGACAATACTTCCTTAAGTCAGGAGAGCAACAGCAACTCTGCACAATCCAGTGCCTCGCAGCCCGCTGCAACCTACAAACACCGCAAATCTGACAGCAAGTCGTCCTGCCATGCAAAAAATAGGATTGTAAGTTGTCTACTATCGCTCTCTTTCTACCGCACCAAAAGTGAAAGCATCCTGAAGATGGATCAAAACCCTATTTATCTTGTATTTGATACCGCTTGATGATACAGGAGAGACACTTTATCTTGATCAGCCAGGTATCTGATAGATGCGCAGAGCCATTTCCATGCTTGAGTGTATCCAAACCAAACAGGTTTCCATGCATGACACCTACGCATGGGAATTTCTGTGTGTGGAATGGATTGCGCACTCTCCCCCGGAGGGTCACACCCTACATACCTAATTCCCGAGAGTGTTAGGCACAGGTTGGCAAGAGTGTCTGTTTGGGTGGGGTGGGTGGGGTGGGTGCGTGGTCAGCTGGAGTTTAACCAACTAAAACTTCATAGCTTGCCATTGAGAACGCTGTCTGACAAGCTTCCTACTGCTTGTCCAACTCAGACGACCTTGCCCGATAGGTTTTTGGTTTTTCAGGGCTAACAGGAGCTGAGCGGGTTCAATCACTGCCCCTAGAATCACTTATAAACCTTTGCAATTTAACACGCACGGGGTTAATATTTCAGGTGCTTGCAATATTAATATTAAATCAATTTTAAAAATGTCTTTTCTGTATCAGGCGTGTATCTTAGGTACTTCATTGCCTCGATTCCATACAGCGGAATTAATGATTTAAAGATTCCACCAGTAAGCGGTGTGTCCCTGGGGCTGAACTGGTTTCTGAGTAGATGAGCACAGCTCAGGCAGGCAGGCCCCACAGTAATCCCAAGATCTCGTTAATGTTTGACCAGCCAAGCCTGGCTCAAAAACGAGACGTATTCTTAACCCTACAAACCAGTGTGCTGACAAACCAGGTGGGTCGCCCTGAGCTGGACAGTACCATTCTGTTAGTTTTCAGATGTGGGGAGGGGAGTGGACGGCATTTAAACGGAACCGTGATTTAATGATGAAATCCTCATCTTAACGTATGTGAGTGGTGGGCTTGTATCTCTCTTCAAAAGACATGCATACCATTGTATTGATAATGTGACACAGGCCGCGTTCCGCACATTCACCTCCGCTAAACCGTCATAGTACGTTATAAATGGATGAAGCACTCGTACACTTCAATTTAAGTCGAACCCGCGTTGAGCCCAAACTCCCATTGATTCTCCGCCGAGGTGACCTCTGGTCCCACCTGATGTTTGTATTCTCACCCATACAAAGAGGAGGTTTCTGTATGTATAATCGCTGTGGAAGCCCTCAACTAGAAAATGAATGTTGGCATGTCATTTTCCCGCAAGAAGGACATGAACAGTAGTTGTGATTTGGCTGGAGAGAACCTAAACAATGACATCGAGAGAATATATGCCGTGGATTTCATACACACGTTATTCTTCATATTAAGATTGCACCTTTGAACTCCTCTACTGTTATGCAGACTGTAGTGGATTCTGCTACCATCATAGACGCACCTGAATCAATGCTGTTGCTATGGTAACATTTCAGCTCGTTCTAAGTTATTACCGTCGTATTCACAGGATGGGTTGAGCTTTTCCTTTTCGGTTTTCAATTTATTCTTTTCAAATCCACAGCGTTTTTTTTTCTATTAAGTTAAATCAAAGTGGAATAAACGAGAGGTGATAAGGATTTGCGTGTTTCGGTGAAATCCAGGAGAATAAAACAGCATCGATAATGTTTGCCTACTTATTAATTTGGTTCCCTGAACCTCAATATGGTATTTTCATAATAAGATCCCATGGCATTATTTGAAAAGAGAAGAGTTTCTCCTAGGGTCCTGGCTGACAATCCCTCCAAATAAAATTGGTCACTCGCTCCATGGCTGTTTGTGGGACATTACTGCGGCATCAGCCCTCAAAGCACACAGAAGATCCACCTTACAAATAAATCCCGTGAAGCGGTTTGGGATGTTCTCCCAACGTGAAAGGCATCACACAAGATGTAAGGATGATTATTCATATCATTATTTTAAACAAAAGATGATTTTTTAAAAAATTGACACACGCAGTCTAAACCCACCTCTTTCTTTACCACCGTGTTTTAAAAAAAGAACAGCCCGTAAATGAGCGAATATTTCTACTGAACCACGGCCCCACTAACTCCATTGTTAATGGGAAACGTTTAACTCGACCGCCAGTCGATGCCAACAGGTTAAAAAAAAATTCCTGAATATCGGGCAGCAGTTTTAATGGTAATCATGAATAGGAAACTTTGGATTGCAATATAGATAAGGAATAAAAATAACGGGCTGCAATAACAAATGCCTCTTTGCCACAGGAGGTCGAATTACACGCTGGTTCTTCAAGCAGTATTCATGAAAACAGCCAGCAGCCACCAGATCCCTGGTCATCGATATCGAATGGCCATTCAGAGCCGAGAAGGCCAAAATTAGCTTTTGATGACACGTATGTATTAATCCGTCTGCGTGCATTTTGTTTTAAGCCTAGATGAGCCTGTCAATGTTTAACAGCACAACTTCAAGGCAAAATCGTATCAAGCGCCTTTTATGACGAAAGCGGCCTCAAAGCCAATGAGGGGGGAAACAGCGACGGAATGAAGTTTCAGTCCGCAGTGACAACCGTGCAGTGTTAAAGCCCTGTTCAATTCAAACTGCGATCGAAAGTCTGCACTAAATTGACGTTAAAGATGGCTGTTGTTTCCCCTCTCCCTCCACTTCAGCAGTCTCTGAATATGACAGGTGTTCCACAGATAGCGCTGTCTGTACCTTGCCAGGCGCCAATTCATAACGTCTGTGCCTAGGAAGAGGGTTACAGGTCATGGAACCACAAAAAGCCTCACGTTTTAGCTCCTGGCCTCATCCCACTGCTGTATCTCATTTGTATTTTCCAGCAGGAATCACTGGATAGCAATTAGCAGCGAGAACGCTGGATAATTTTTCCCTCTCCCTAGCTCAGAGGCACCCAGTCCAATCGCTGCTCGTCTACTGCTGATCAACCAAGTCAGCGGCTGGGAATCGAACCTATGAACCTTCTGCTCTGCGTGGCTTAGTGATATATCAGACAGGCTTTTACCCTCTCAGCTAACGTGTTTCTGTGTGTATATATATACCTCATTTAATTAGGTTTGGCTGCTTGGGCTGAAAAACTGGCCAACAATCTCTCCCGATCCAGCTGAATCCGAGTGCGTGTCGCTGTTGTTAATTCATTTCTCACAGCTGAGTAATTGGCATGAATTTTGGAAATGTTAACTTTCCAATCCTGTTTTCAAAGCCCATTTCTTATCAGATTACAAGACGTTTGATTCTGTTCAATCCAACCGCCGGGGCTGCAAACATACACATGTAAAAATAATCCAGCACTTTTGTTGCTTTTGTTTAGGTCTTAGCGAAAAGCGTGTGGCATTTTTATTTTCACAATGCCATTCATCTTCGTAAGGCATGAGAGAAATTACAGAGGAGGCTAAACTGGATAGAAAAATGTATAAGTAGCCATTTTTTCCTCATGAAATTGACCTGGAATGTTTGCCTGTAATGAAAACATTATTATAATATCATCAATTCCATCACCCTCGCTGTGGATTGCAAACCAATTATTTCCTCAAATTATGTGGTTGAGTACGCTGTTGGGAAATAATTTTACGATTGATATTCACATTGAACTCTTCAAAGCACGTACTATTTTATCACTGCCAAGTTCATGTTCCCTATCTCTTCAACTTGGATGGATTAAAAGAGTTTACATTTTGGCTGCTCGTCAGCGCTAGAGCTGATGGGGGGGGTGGAGGGGGATTTGTTGGAGCACTATTTTAGGTGTTTTTCCTCCCTTTTCCCATTCTCTGTGGAAGACACTGGCAACAGGTGTACCAGATGATTGTGTGCGAGTTGAGTTAGTAAATGGCCTCCGACTATTCCACCAATAAGAGTGGGATCACTGCTGAGCCCAGTCACATCCTCCTATGATACCCTCACACATTCTCTCTCCAGCGTGGGTCAACTGGGTATCAATGAAGAGCAACAAGCCCACAAGATATCTTCGCTTGCTGACTCCAATTGTAGAGCCCCAACTGCTGTGTGCCCTACAGCTAAGTTATGCATAAATGATTTTCAAAAGGATGTTTAGTATTGGAGTTAGATAATTCAGATTCTCAGAAAGCCGTCTCTCGCTCTGTTCTCTGTTGCTACAGATCTGTCAGAGAGGTGCCATTAGGTCCACTGACCCACGCACAGCCTAAGACTACATTGTGAATTCATCGGTTATATCCAAGAGCAGCCAACCGGCAGCTCTATCATCACCAACAGTTGTGACTTTGATGAATATTATTTTCTTCTGCAGGTCTCACAACGCAGATTACTACATGCAAGAGGCTAAGAAGCTGAAGCACAGAGCTGATGCACTGGTAATTTTCCATTTTATATTCATTCTGACTTTTTAATGTTTCACTCATCGGAATGACACAAATTATTACTTACCACGCTACACCTAGAGGGATGTTAGTGCAGCGCTGATGAAAAATGAAATGATACTTTGCCTTGTTGAGATTCACATCACTAAAGTTCTTTTTTTTTTAATTTTCAGCTTGATAAGTTTGGAAAAGCAGTTAATTATGCAGATGCAGCACTATCATTCATTGAATGTGGAAATGCTATGGAGCGTGATCCATTAGAGGCGAAATCCCCCTACACCATGTACTCTGAGACCGTGGAACTCATCAGGTTAATGTCTTTTTGACGATAATTTTACTAATCATTTCTAGATGATAATTAATAACCTGCTGTGAGGAAATCAGATGGAAGATTAAGATCTATATGGAGATGTCATATTTCAGAACTTAATAATACTTTAAATTACTTATAATGCATACCATTTTGTTTGTTTGCTCATAATTTGTACTTTATTAATTTACGGTGCTCCGAGCCTCATCAGTGAACACTTTCCAAAATGAAACATTCTTTTCTCGCGATATGTGTGTGTGTGTGTATATGTATGTGTGTTTACTCTGCACAAACCCCAAAGCTTTGTGTTCTGCCTGTTGGAATAGAACGTGACTTGGGTTATAACCGGGGCTAAGCAAACAGGCTGCTATCAAATCCCAGAGAAATCCAAGGCAAATCTACCTGGCTAAAATTACTGTTCTTTCCCTCCGCTCAGTTGCAAAGTAAAACCTTGGCTCTGCTCCAAGTTTCCATTTTGTCATTAGAGGAAAGCAATCCTGAGCCGAAGCAGACAAATCTCAGTGCTTACCATTTACTCCTGATTGGTTGATGTTGGATTCCCAATAAGAGTTTGTGTCTAGCGCTCATCACAATAGATCAATATCCCGCAAACCCCAAATAGTTAAAAACCGAAACAAGCTAGTATTGAATTAGCTCCAAAGGGTTAAAACACTAAAGGGTTAATTTCTGTTGGTGCAGTAACAGAATGACTCCTTTGTCACCATGGGTTACGCTTGCATCATATCTGAAGTAGGTTGCTTGCATTTTAATCCTTAGACTTAAATTCCAAGGAGTGTGTAGTTTGGGGAATATAAATTATGGAACGAGGAAAGGAGAAAGCGGAGATAGGATGGATAGAAATAAATAAATCATTCTCTATGTGCGCGGGTTTTGTGATTACCTGTCTTTATGTAGGTGTATGTAATATATAAAGGAAGGCTGGGCTCTTTGTTAGCTGACACATCCTGTAGAGTTGTAGTAAATGCACAGACTAACACCAGAATCAAGAGGACAAACTGATTGGTGCCATTATTTTTTCATTCCTCACTGTGAGCTTTCCTTTTGTGCTAGCCTAGAGCGTTGGCACATCAGATGACTCAAGTTTCCTAGGGTTATAAGTGATGTAATAAGATGTCAGCCTTCTTATTGCAAAGCTATGCACTGACACATCTAGCTCAACTAAGATGTAGTTGTGCTGTGCACGCATTATTGCCCGCATATGTTTATGTGGGTACCCAACGATGTCTTTTTATTTCACTTTTGGCAGTGATTTATAAACGTGTGATGTAAGTGGAGACTGAAGCAAGGCAAATTGTGCTGGAGCTCTGCTCCATTCACCATCAGGAGGCACTGGTCTTAGGAGCCCATTGTAACACGCCTTTGCTCTTATGTGGGTTTGTTTATAACTCAATTGACTGAATTTTGATAGCTGAAAATCCTCATCCCGCCATTGGGCTACAAACGCCTGGCATCGCATTCAAAATAATCACGTCATGCTCAGTAATGTCACAGGTCACGCGATCGGAGATATCATAACCTGGAAGGATTCTTGAGCGGCCCCTGCTATAAGGTGGGCTGGCCCTTACACCACCTTATAACCAGGTAACCCTGTCATTCACACTGGGCTTGTTTCCCTGCGAACAAATACCATTCATACATATAAAAGTTATCAAAAAAGCCTATCGTACAACCAGCTCTTAATATTATTTCTACAAGGTGTGTGTGCAAAACGTTTAAAATCAGTCATTGTGATGTGCTTGTTGTGACTGGAGAGAGTCCCCCCCACTTGATCTCTTTATTAAAGAACCATCATTTGGAAATTACCGCACAATAGACCTGATGTCTCATTGTCTCCTTGTAAGAAAAGTGAGCGATTCGTTTTTCGACGGCTTATTATTGAGCTGGCAGGTGATTTTTATGTGCATGATGTTTATTAGGCAGGATCAGTAATTTTTGGGTTGTTTCTGTTCCCAAAGGTATGCCATGAGATTGAAGAATTTCACTGGGCCAGCAGCCACAGTCGCAGACAAGAAGCTTGCTGTTTTGTGGTGAGTTTTCAACAAGTGGACTGATCCATCATTGAACCTCGAGTGAATGATCTTTAATCATTTTACGTGTGGTCAATGAGCGTACGGAAATGAGAAAAACAAAGCAATCGAGGAAGATTTTATCTTGTAATCCTCTCAAATTGCTGTTCATTTATCTGTGCTGTTTCAAAAAGCTTTGCCAGACAAAATGTGCTGTATTAATATTATGCCATGTTTGCACACTTCGCCCCCCCCCCCACCCAAGAATGTGCAAGATCAGATGAAAATTGAACATCAGTTCAATTTACATAAATTGTGTGACTTTATTGAGTACTCAACCTAACATAATCCTTCTTTAATTTATATAGCTACCGATGCTTATCGCTTCTCTACTTGAGAATGTTCAGACTTAAAAAGGACCACGCTTTGAAGTACTCCAGATCATTGATGGAATATTTTAAGGTATTTCTTTAAAAAAAAGGATGTGATGACTGTACTACAGTGAACTACACCACATGGAATTCCACTTCCCATCCACATTCTCCAAATGTATTTCAGCACCAATCTAAGCATAAAACTGACTGCATTTACGATAGTACACTAACTGTGTTCAATTGACTGTTGACCATCACCTTGAGACAGCAAATATATCAGGAGTTTAATCACTTTTGTTGGGATTAAATGTTGAAGATGCTTTAAATGGCTCGTGATACGTACATTTATCAATTCCTTATTTTGAACTGTGGGTTTATTGATATCCCGATCTAAGCAGAATATTTCCTGCCGAAAGTTGTTCTGTATTGCTCAGGGGGTCTGAACAGCACAGCATGTCAGTTGTACTCATTCAGAGATTCACACATCAGTTTGATGTAATCCTGCACATCTTCCAACCTCAGCTCCAGTAGAATATCTGACAAATAATACTTACCGTTCCTCATAAGCACAAAATCTAATTTTAAATCTTCAGATAGCTTTCTGTGTGAATTTTTTTTTGTCTTTTCTCCCCAATCCCAGAAAGTCCACTCAAACGTTCAATGATGTTTAATATTTTAATTTCTGAGAATCTTTTTCCTTACCATTTCTTGATTGCCTTGGGATACAGAATTGTAGTTTTGTTCTGCCAAGGACAGATTCCAGCCATGTGAACTGAGTGGAATGACTGTATAAGTGCAAAGTAATGTATCAAGGGAAAAAAGTTCTATAACTTGACGTGAGAAGTATTGCTCTTTTAGATTATGTCACTTACATGGATGATAAATGTCTGTCAAATAAATAAACACAAAAGGCCAGATCAATGAGTGTAAAGAATATGATGGATCATTATTTGACACACTGGAGTGAGCGATCAGGTGATTATCATTTATAAAAGTCACCATTCTGGTCCGGACATAAAGTTGGAAGGAAGTTATCATAAACTCCTAGACTGCAATTGGAGTACTGAAATAACAAGAGATTTTCAGCCTGCTTGGATTAAATACCTAAAATGATTACTGCTTGAGTATTTCAGGATGAGACACAAATTTCTATCTGACTCTTCCAAGAAGAGGAACATTATACCTTGCTCCCATCACCCCGCCTCCCTTTTCAACCTGCTTTTTCAAGCTTGTCCTAACATCGGTCTGTGTATCAGGCCTCTGTCCCACGTGACCACTCGGTTACAGTTGCGGTAATAAATGTCTGATTCAGACAGACTCCAATCTTCAGTAAGAGATCACCCATGTGTAAAGATTTCATTCACTCTTGTGGACACTTGCACACTTGACATTTTGTGTTTGAAATCAAAAAAAAATCTGAATCTCAAAAACAGTGGAAACAGTTCTGTTTCCTTCTAATATATTCTGGGTTGGAAATAGTGAAATAGCGCCTTGGGACGTCCTCCCGACGTGAAAGGTGCTCTATAAATGGAATCTTGTTGTTGTTGTAGTATAGCATCACATGCCGGACCTCTTTATTATTAATAATAAATTGGTCACTTCAATCCATGACTGTTTGTGGGACACTGCTGTGCGCAATTGGCTGTCGCGTTTCACCCACAAAATATAAAGTCAACTCAAGTTATAGTGTATTCTGTGAAGTGCTTTGGGACATCTCGAAGACGTGATAAGATGCTATATCAAATGCAAGGATTATTATTATTATTCTCTTTCAAGAGGAGCTTAGGAATGGCTCGCTTTGCTTCTCCCAAACCCTTCAGAGAACGATTATGTTTCACATGTAAATTTCTATGTTGCAGAGCTCCTCAAAAGCCTCGCAGGCTCCTTCTCCTTGGGGAACAAATGGAAAGTAAGTCTTCTTCCCTTCACAATGGGTCTTATTTAACTGCACGCCTGGTTTATTTTGACTTGGAAGCAACATTTGATCATAGGGTGATCAACATTTACTCAGGTTGAACACTACCATGTTATCCCACTGCCAGTCACAATTGCGTTCATGTTTAAAATGCAATCAATTGATTCCACCCTTCCCCAACCAAACTATTTTCCAATTCAAAAACCTTACATAACCTTACCTTACATCGCACTGACTACAATAAATGGGAATTGACCACAGTTAATATAAATTACTCACCTTCTGAGTTGCCATCTTTCAATTTAATATGGACCTTTAGACTTAAAGTCATAATGTTAACATTCACTGAAAGACTGATGAATATTTCCTTGATAGATGTTATGGTCTGGTTAAATATAATCAAGTCACGGCTGATCGCCAAATAGGATTCACATTTATAGCACTTGTTGATTATGATCATGACTGAAAACTTACGTGAATATAAGCTCATTTGTTTTCAATGCAAGATTTATTTCTGTCCGTTCCGTAATAATGAATTCCCTGTAATCATTATGAATGAAAATAACAGAGTGTTGATATGAGCAGCAAGAAAACAACATGCATCACAGTGTTACTCTGGGTTTATTGAGTGCATACATGCTGCCTTAATATATTGATCATGAATGAACCCACCATCACTTTAACATTGCTCAGCTAGGAAATAAAACAGGCACTGATTTCAGTTTTAGAACATCTGCTTCCTTCTTGTGGCTCCGTGTCTCTAATTATATCAGAATTTTCAAGGAAAATAAACAAGCTCGACTGGAGCCAGCCCTTAGAGAGGCTTGTCTCTGTGGAACCCTGTTCTTTTTCGCTCTCTCTGTCCTTCTCCATCTCTCAGCCTTGACCCTGTGATCTATCTCTGAGGCTCGAGGTCAGCTCATCGACATGTGTTACTGTGGCACCTCCCCAGCTGTTACAGCCACTACAGTAACATTTTACAATTAAGTTTCTTCATCAGCCTAGATTACCAGCTCAGTTCCTGACTCAGGGCGTGACCGTTTGAACTTAAACCAATAACACGAATACGAAATGCAGAATACAAACGTAGATGTACCACACATTTAAGTGAAGCCTATTCTCGCTTTGGTTTAAGTACAGTTTTGTTTCCTGTTTTCAGAGCATTAATATTCCCTCCATTCTCCCCAGAACTACAGGAACAGCATCTCCCATGTCTCCAACTCCATCTCCAGTCAGCTCAGTGGGGTCACACGGGAGCAACATAAGCACCGCAGGCTCCTCACCATCCGCAACCATCAGTATTCCACAACGAATTCACCACATGGCTGCCAGCCACGTAAATATCACCAACAACATCCTCAGGAGCTATGAGCATTGGGACACTGCTGACAAGTTGGGCAGGGAGAATAAAGGTGGGTTTTATACTGACATGAGGTTTTTTTTACACACGCACACACTCTCACGCTTGCTGTTGTCATTCCCAAGTAAAATTGCACTGCTCTCAATTACAAGAACTGCCTTCTGATTTAGGATTAGCCTCCAAAGAATCTGTTTGAACGCAATATGGCACAGCAGCAGGCAAAACACAACCGAAATGAATAGGCTGTGCTTTTGTTGTTCAATTGCTTAATAATAATAATAATAATCCATGCATTTGATATAACGCCTTATCACGTCTTCGAGACATCTCGAAGCACCTCACAGAATATACTGTAAAGTGAATGCCTGTAAAGATTTTTGGGCGAAATTGCAAATTGACCCAGAATATGCGCTGGTGATTTAATGTTTCCTATATTGAATGGACTTTGCTGTATAAATTAAACTGCTGGGTTATCAATCTTACTATTGAGATGGAAAAGCCAGTGTATTTATTAAATATCTTCATTAGACTTTATGCAATATCACATCTCTCATTAAAAAATAGTCTGTTGTAATTTAGGTGAGCTGCATGATGCAGCGTGGTTTCTAAACTGACAGGATGATTTATTCATAGTTTACCTAATTTGTATTTATCTGTAGTGTACTAACGTCTGTTATATCATTAAATGCCTTGCTAAAAATTGCACCATCTCTTACACTCTCAGTATTGACAAATATGAACCTTGAAAACTGTAATATAATACATTGAGAAAGACAGTGAATCACTACAGTTGATGTTGGTAGTATTTTATACAGTAATATTTATACATTTGGATGTTTCGATGGAGAGTTCATCACTAAAAGAGATTCCTATAAGGATCATATTTCTAGGAAATGTGAATTTTATTTGTTTGATAATGATGTTTGAGACATCTCGAAGACATGAAAGCGCTATATCAAATGCAAGGATTATTATATTATTTATTGTGTGATACTTCCAATGGTAAAGCATGATTTTTTCTTATTTTAAGGCAATTATTTTGAGGTACTTATGTATCTTAAAATGTTGAAACCAAATTAAGATCTTGTAAATAAATGAAATTAGTCTCTTAAACATTATTTCAAAAAATAATTTTCCTGGAGTGCACTTGCTTTCAATGTTATACATTTACATAAATGTAATTTTCGCGTTCGATTGCCTGTGATCAAGGGTGTACTCTCAGTCACCAAATTGGTACAAATACATTTTATTTCTGGTAATCAGTGGAATTCAATCTCAGCATGCACTGTGTGATATTGAATCTCCCAAAAATTAACTCCAATGGAATCACGTGCCATCAGTTTGAAGTACTCATCCGATATGGTCAGTTATGTCTGAGTAATAGTTTTCAGTCGACGAATAAATAATCCTTGCACTTGATATAGATTCTAATCATATCACTGAATCACAGGTCTAAGTGCTTCACTGTAAAGTGTAGTGACTATGTATTTGTAGGCGAACGCAGCAGGCGGTTTATGCACCCAAACAACCACAAAGTGAACCAGCAATTTTATCTGAAGTTTGATGTGTTATCAAAATACAAATAATGTTATATGAATGTTCTTTGCAGAATGGATTGATTGGGTTTGCTTGATTCCTGCTTACAGAGTTACTTAACAAGAGCTGATATTGATCCAGTTGTTTGAAGTACAAGTTAGGAAATGCATTACAATTGTAAATTAGCATGAAGCGTTTTTTGTTGGGAGAATAGTCTTTAATCACGAATTGTAGATGATTCAATGCTTAAACATAGACAAAAGGATAATGTGATATTTCACAGATGATTGGGAAGAGAGTTTCTTTTGGCCAACAATCCGCCAGATAAAATTAGTCATTCTTGACGTGGCTGCTTGTGTGTAAATTGGCTGCTGCATTCGCTTCCAAATATATATTCACTAAATGTTACAATAAATCCTGTGAAACACTTTGAAATGTTTTGACAAAGTGATAATCCCGATATCAAATGCCAAGATTATTAATATTGGCTTTTCAATGTTAAATTATTCTGACTATTTGTTCTCTTCATTTTTGTTCATCTTTGCAGAGTTCTTTCATGAGCTGGACACGCTGATGGGACCATTAACACAGCACAGCAGTATGACCGTCTTGGTACGATACACTCGGCAAGGACTACATTGGCTCCGGGTAGAAGCCCATTTGTTATAGTGACTGTTGTACGCTCCTATTCATTTCCATCTCTACCTCTGCCAGCACACTAACTGTAACTGGTGGAAATCCTGCCATTCTGGAGCTCAAATTCCAGGTGTCGTTTAACCTGTCAGATGTCTCCTCTTTGCTCTTTGCTGCAGACTTGAAAGTGGTGGTCTACAGCCAGGGTAAATCCTCCCAATGGACTTGCAATCATTGCAAAACCAATTTGGTACCTGGCTTTATCCCACTGTTCCTACTGACCTCTCCAGTCCAGTGGTACTATCCTGAGGCATTTCGCAATGTTGTAAACTGCCTTCGGGCCCAAACTGATGGAACCAAGGTGGAAAGGAGTGCCTGAAAACATAGGAAATGCCTCATAAGAAGGTACTTAGAGGCTCAAGGTTACTCGTGAACGTCAAAACCCGGGATGCTCCTTGAAGGATTAATTGTTGTGTTTTCTCGCTACTCCTGCAGTCCAGATTGTGTGATTAACACGCTGCTTCAAACCGGACTGCTGAAGAAGTCGTACGAAAGACACAAGGTCAAAAAAAAACAATGTCTGACATATGTAAATGGTCTGAGTCATTTGACTCTTTATTTTATACATCGTTTTGCTGTTTTTTTTAAAGAATTGCTAAAAGAACGCTGACGCAAGTTAGAAATGGAAAATTGTGCATTAAATTGAAGTGCTCTGTGTTTGCTTTTTTTGTGGAGTGAAAACTCATCATCTTCAGTGCTGTATGGTATGCCTTAGAGATTTGTGATCACAAGCACTTTTTTTTTAAAAAAAGAATATTTATTAGGATGTACGTCCTAACACCTTGGTGGTGTATGAAGGATTAATTCCATGCCATTGCACCTGCATTTATTTGTAGGATGACTCTGGAGATGGGGCAAAGCCCCAATTTAGCAACGTTACCTTTGAAGGGAATTTTTAAACGTCCAAGACCCTGTGTGCTGATATCATCAGAAATGTCCATCTTCATCCTTCCATATCTGGAGATTGTTTTTGGTCTTTTCTAAACTAATTATTAAATTTCTGTGGCAATATGTTTAATATGTACCCACACATAAGGAAGTAATTGTCCTGTGTATGAAAATTGACTGATATTGAAAATGTATCATTTGATTGGGACAAAGAGAAAGGAAGATGGTTCCAAAACAACAACAACAAAATTACATTTGTAAAGCGCCTTTCACGTCGGGAGGACGTCCCAAGATGCCGAACAGTCAGTGATCAGGACCCGAGCGTGAGGGAGCAGGGTTGGGGTAAGGGAGGGCAGAGGGGGTAGGAGGGCGGTTGAAGGCACAGTTGAAAAGGTGGGTCTTGAATCGTGCCTTGAAGGAGACGAGGGAGGGAGCAAGGCAAAGGGATTGTAGGATGGAGTTCCAAAGGATGGGGGGAGAGAGGCTGAAAGCCCGGCTCCGATGGTAGGGCAGGTTGAGTGGGAGACATGGAGCAGGCTGAGCGGAGGGAGCGGACAGGTTAATAGGGGGTCAACAGGTCAGAGATGTTTCTACCCAAATTTTAATGGGTCTATTTGACTGACGCTTACAATGTTATCTCATGTCAAGACAAAATGCATCTCAACATAAAATAACTGAAATATAGTTCACAATTGAGAGCCAGTCAGTTAATCGGAATCTCAGCTGAAGGTTTTATAGGGCAGCTACAGATGATTATGGAGTAGTTGGTAGAAGCTGATTCTTCTGATTAAGTGCCATTTAGTTGTCCTTAAAACCTTTCTCAGCCTTTCTGCGGAAAAGGGTGCAATTATCATAAATGTCCTCGCTCACTTGCAATGTCCATTGCACGATTGTTTGAGATTCAAAAGGTAAATGAGACACAGTAATTTTTTTAAAAAAGTTTTAATATGTTCCAATAGCACGTAGCTTATAAATGTAAAATAAATGACACAAAAATTGCCTGTGCCTTATTACTTTTTGAAACAGAAAGGTGTTTTGCGTACACAGAAACAATGGGACACCTGCAATTGCTCATCATTAGCAATCCTTGGAAGTGTTTTAGTTTTTGTTAATCTGGTACGAATATTACTTTTAAATCCCACATTGAAGAAGTGGAATTTGACCCTGCTCAGTTACTTGTTTGTATTCGTTGTTGTTGCAAAACTTGACAAGGCAGCAAACGTAAATTATTTTTTATTATAAATACTGTAGCCCCAAACGACATTAGTACATTAAAACATCCTAGTTTCGATTCAGCTCCGACCGTATGTTGTTGCTGTGATTTTGAGTGAAAATTTCTTCTGATGCTCAGAGTTCAGCTGTAGAGCTGGCAGCTTTCTGGCTTCTGCCCTTGTTCTTGTTTAAAGACCCAGTTCAGTGGAATATATCTCTGGCTGCTGCCCTGAACATTTCTTTGACTTTGAATATGTAGCTGAAAATGAATTTGCATTAAATTCTGCTGATTGTCTTAATGTTGAACAGGAAAAGGTAGCACATTTTTTAAAAAAAACTATGGGGTGGTACCATTTAATCTTAAGCAGAGGACTGATAGTCTGTTTTAGAAGGTCAATTTTTGTTTTAAATCGTGAACAATAATCTTCTAGCCCAAATTCAGATTGAGTTCTAACGGAATGCTGTTTGTCTAGCATACGTGAAAATTATCCATCACAAAGAAAGAGCAGTTTCATAGATCCAGTTACAAATGGTTGCTTACATTGGAAATGGCTCCTTACTGGTGGTGCTGCAAATTAAATTAAGTTGTGTTCCTCCTTTGAATGCATCACAACAATAATACGTGAGCTAAAGGCCACAGAGTGTGGAACAGTGGGATTCTAAGTAAATTCCTTGTCGGAAGACATCATATCTCACTAATGGTGTAATCCCGATGGATTTAAGAAAGTCCATGCCGCAAACGGACTGAACTCGGCATCGTAGCCTTTCTGTTTATTTAACGTTCATTTTAAACCTAAGAAAGCAAATGAATCCTTAAGGTGGCCACACGGATTTGTGATGCAATGAGGTGACTTGGGTGCCATGGTGAAGGAACAGTTACGGTTCCCCTACCCAGCAAACACACACTCACAGCAGATATGACAATATTGTGGTGATGTAAATACCCGATTAATGGAATGTGTGAGAAATATGCATGAGTGATACGAAAGATCTGAAATAGCAAAAAGAATCGATTTTCATCCCCACTCAAAAGATGAGATTATTTTCAGCGATCATTCCCAAAACGCCATTATTATTTCCAATATATAAACCTGCAAGCAAGGTTAACATTTTCATATTGCTTGTGACATCCCTGAAATGTGCGGCTATTACTGCATAATTACAAAATGCAGTGGTTTATCGGGAAATGTAAGCTCCAAATATTGCACGCATAATAATACGTTGGTGGGCGTTTGTAACAAGGCACATCCAAAGGATTCAATTAAAATAGCATCATTGAGTATATCATGAATGATATCAGAGTCGTAAAATGCTCCTATATTATCCTATGATTGAGAATTTTTTAATAAAAATCATCACTTTAAATAATAAAATATTTTAATTCAGACTAAATCTAGCTTGAAACTGAATCTGTGAGAGTTGTGAAGGAAGGACACTTCAAGTATACAATACTGTAATGGTGAACTGCTGATCATGTAGCATTGCCATTCAGGATTTATTATAATCTGGGTAATTGGCAGATTGGCCAGTGCCATTCTTACCATTGCGCGGGTGGGGGGTGAAACGTAAAGAATTGAAACTCCAGTTTATCTTTAATTTGTACATTCACCTAACAGATTTTCACATCATGAAGTGCTCAATGTTAACATTCTCAAAGCTACGATTGAAAAGAAGCCCCAGCCTGGCAGGTATCATTGTTTATTTGCGAAAACCTGGATGCAGTATCCTCAACTGTGGTCATTGCTTCACTGTTTCAAAATCTCCAGATTTTTGTTAAGTGATTGAGCCACAAGTTTGCCGTTCAATTCAAGACCATATTCTAAACTAAGGTTATAAATCGGTAGGAAAGTATTCTAAAACTAGTATCTTTTTCGAACTGTCAGAGACTGGTTTCAGGCTCTGAGCTAGATTGGTGGAAACTCCTTCAAATGGCAGGTACCTAAGATTATGATCCAAATGCAATTGTTCAATTCACCATTGTCAGAATTACATATTAAACATTAAACAGAAAAGACGCACTCTTTTTGATAAATTTCGAAAAAGAATATATAGTACAGGGTATTTATATTTAGCTTAATGAGATATAGATTAATATTTAACAAGACGTGAAGTAAAGCAGTCCAAAAGCTAAAGAAAATTCCTACGAGGAAGCAATAATAGTGTATTTTTTCAACAAAAAAAATTACAATCCAAACATTAAATTTATATAATACAATGAGAAAAAGTTGTCCATTTAAACTGGCAGGACTGTGTGAGTGTCCACGCCTAAGGTAGTGTTTATGCAATATGGCCAAGAATGAGATTGGACTTTGAGTATAATTGGTGAATCTGTAATCTTCATAGTCATCAATCGGATACTCACTGCTCAGCCACTCCATTTTCAAGAACAAGGAATTCAACCAATTTCTTTTTAAAAAAAAATTTCTAAAGCTGATTTATAGTTCTATACCTAGAGAACAGAGAATTTCTTAGCTAGGGGTGCCAATTGTTTAGTAGCTCTGAGACAGTACACACTTTCAATTACAATTCCGGATGTAATTGTTTTTAATGTATAGATAACAAAATACAACAAGATATGGCACATGGCTACCCTTACTGGGGGAAAAGTAAAATAACATTGTGGTTCCCATTCATTTGATGTTTGAGGTATATCTAAAGCATGGATATTTGTTAAATTTTTTAAACCAAACTGAAAACGTTTTATATTATGAAATCGCAATTTGGAAATCTATTTATGAGAGATATTAAGTGGTTTATTGGATGAACGGATACTTTTGATTACTCTTGAAGTGTGCATTAATTTCTAAGTCTAACAGTCTGACCATTGTTAAATTATTATTTTTCGCATTAATGCTGTTTCATCAGATCAGTGTATGAAACATCTCCAGTCAAATCACTCTAAATAACTTTTCTTTACAAGTGCTAGTTTTTAAATAGAAACTTCATTCTGAGATTTTAGCAGACCTCCAAACGTGTTACTGACAAATGCACTGCCTTTCAAGAGACTTTGTCAAGGATATTTCAATGAGCCTTATTCTCCTTCTGTAGCATCATGTAAAATTATTTCTTGTCTTATCCAGTTTGTTGCCTATTATTGCAGTAGTGTGGCCTACCAAAGGCTTGTAGTAACCTTGTTTTATATTTCTCGTATAGTTTCATTTTCTGCTATACCAGCACTGGGTACAAGAAGAATTTATCCAATGTAAAAGTTAATGATAAAAGATGCATAACATGTTCACCTAGACGCCACAAGTTGTCTTTGTTTGACGGGCATGCTGTTGTCTATCCTTGTAAAAACAATTTTGGTAAATTATGAAGTTTTTGTACAGAGAGCTAAAATGTAATTACGTTAAGCTATTGACTGATCTCTATATAGCTGTGAGAGGTTAATTTCTTTGGCTTAAATATGAAATGTAATCTGCCTGTTCTGCTTTGTATTTCAGCTGTGTTGCACAGTTATGCATTTTGGTTACTAGTATGTCAATTTTGAAACATTAATACTAAATGTAAAAACATTAAACTGTTATAGGTATTTTTGTTCTTTTTAAATGTAATGTCTCTGTATAAATAATTGTATGAACTGGTAAGACTGCTTCTCTGAAAGAGGGCTTTATTATATTATCAGTACATTGAGTAATAAAGAAATACAATAAAACCATTTTTTCTTAAAATGTGCCGGCTTCAATGTCCATTGACTGACTCTAGCACCAATTTCTGTGACTGTTATCATCGTCAAGGAAGATTTCACAAAATCTGAATGGATTCAGATAATATCAGAAACACAGCCACCACTGACAAAACAAGAGGAGATAATCTCTGTTGTAACTCCCCTGTTTTTGAACCCATTGATGGAGGCCTAACTCATGAAGGAAATGACTCTTGTCAAGTAGAAGAGTTGGTGTGTAAAGGATTAAAAAAAAAGCCCCATGGATTGAGTTAAACCTAATCTCCACTTGGCTTTAAATTTCAGGTTTTAAAAAATGGGCCATCAGTTACGGAACAACATGTGGCAACTGTGAAGTAGTAGAG